CCCAAAGCTTGACAGTTATTATTACCTCTTCATTGGTCGACATTTTATTCCATAACGTTACACAGTTTTGATGCTGTTTTATGTCTGATGATCGTGTTAGAATACATGTGGAAGCATCTGTTGTTTCGGTTTCTTCTTCACTTGTGTTTTTTGGAAATTCTGTACAGAAGATCTGTACTAGCGCCCTCTACCATATAACAATGAAAACACGGATTCTAGGAGCACAATTATAGCAAAAATATATTTAGACTTTTTCTAAGTATAAGTCAAGTATACTTAAATGTCATTTTAAGTATATTTCTGAGAAGTACATAAAGCCCATTTCTGAGAAGTACATAAAAAGTAGACAAAGTATACTTTCCTATTTTTAGTTTAAAAGAAGTATACTAATAGCACACTTGGCGATATATTAAAAAGGTAAGGGATATCCTGTCATCAAACGGAATAAATAAAACTCTTTCCAAACAGGCGTTCCAAATAGCGATTTCCAATTTGTGAGCGAGTCGTTCTTTAGAGTCAGATCTTTTTGATGAATCGGTTGAACTGGTTTCATAAACTTAGGCTGTGTTCGAAATGGCATACTTGCTTACTGCTTACTGCCCAGTACAGAGTGCATACTGCCTACTATTTTTTTTTTTACAAAGAATAGTGTGTGAAACACATTTGCTTATTGTACACACTATATACAATAAGCAATAAATGTTTCAGAGTAGTATGCTTAAATGCTGTCACATGACAAACACTGAACATTAATTCAGCACAGCTGTCAAGGTCGTTACCTTAGAAACAACTGAGCTAACTGTTCTTTTTACAAAGGCTTGTTAATAAGGCTTCATACTAATAAACAATGCTATATTGTCCAATTGAACACATTTTATAATTGATTAACTTTACATATTGGACAGAACTAAATTAAAACTGAGCTGTCTTTATTGATATTTTTGGTAGTTCCACTAAGTGGCGATATATTAAAAAGCGATATATTCTAGTTACACTAAGTGCAAATAATGATCAATTCTGTTTACACTAAAATAGCAGCATTTTCTTTAGCAACAGGAGTGTAAATAGTAGTTAGATGGCAGATATTTATACCTCAATACTGTAGTACATTATAAAACAGTATGCAATAACATATTGAGTGTAAATGATCATGTACTGTATATATAAATTGTATTAGATGAATGCCACTTTATTGGGCCAAAACCCTACCTAAAGCATACACAACACTGTATTGAGGCGTTTTATTTCCACTTTTCAAATATTTACTTTCTATCTGATCTGGTGTGACGGGAAAAGGAGAAGCATGAGTTTGACAAAAGCCAGGGTCGAACTCGGGTCGACTGAGTTAAAAGCAAACAGCTCACGTTTTACTCGCTGCGCCACTGAAACTTCGGAATTGCAAGTGTTTTTGCTGTTAATCACAGCCAGACATTGGTGGGCGGAGTTAATGTAAATAGCCTCTGCCAACAAATTGGTCTATTT